ATATTTATCCTGATAATACAGAAAATCTGAACTAACCGCGAATCAGTGAGCCATTTTCAGGCTTTTTAGGGCTTTTAAGGATCACCTTGGTTCTCTGTTTCTTTTTCGATTATTTATACGTACATAGTGCGAAAAAAGAACCGACATTTTGTAGTAATGTGGGAATTAGAAGTAAAAGTAACATTTTTCTGCGTCAGTAATTTTGTATAGTTTTTCTTTAGGTTTCGCGGACCATAGGTGTATCCAGACACTTTGAACGGGGGGCGTAAGGGGGGTCCGGGGGCATCCTCCAGAAAATTGTCGAAATTTTAAAGCATCCGTTAAGCGGTTTGAATCAATTTTGTAATGAATCATTACCGAATACAAACGCCCTTTTTCCCTTTTCCTCAGTCCCTTCTTTCTTGCTTTCTCCTATTTCTCTTCTCCTTTTTTGGGGGGCAAGCGGAAGGACATACGTCTCCTCAGTCCCCCTTGGATCCACTCGTGATATGGACCACATCTTATGGTTGAAAATTCGCAGCTTCGTTAAAATTAGGCGGGAGCCGCCGGGATCAAACCCGGATCGCAAGTGATAGTCCAATACGCTTTAGCCACTCGCAAGTCGCGTATGGAAAATTTGCAACATTTTAACGATGTTTTAGCTGATATCTCTGGAGTGCTTACTGTTCCTCTCTCAAAATATTTCGACTTATCAACATAAGTGAAACCCTCCGTTCCTTGGCCGCTACCTGCCTGAACCCCACGCATCGTATACTCCAATCCTTCCATTATCGGCTGACGCTGACTCAAGGGGTGTATAATTACGGTCATAAATAAAACATCGAGGATAGCTAACTCATCTGCGGATGACTGCCTGCTGATGATCGAAAATAATGGGAGTCGACCCGGTAGAAATTTTGATGAGCCTGAGGCGAATTTAAAGTAAACATTTGGAAAGTCGGACATTTTCGGGCAATGGTACCTTGAATACACAGGGTGATTCAAAAGTCCCGCACTTGCAGGGCTAGGCACCACCCCCGTAACTTTTTATCAAACTGAGATAGAGACCTGAAATTTTGTGAGAGCCCCTATGTCAAAGGAAACAACTTTTGGGATCCCCCAAAATTTTAGGTGGACCTCTCTGAACAAGTGCGAAATCCCCGAGAGGGGTTGCGCGATAAATCTACATCACCCTATATTTCTGTACTCAGAAGTTTAAATTGATCCTTAAAAACTCTCATAAACATGAAATGCCAAAAACCTTAAAACAAATCAGAAACCAAGCATATTCTCCCTGCAAGATCGTGTATACGTCGGCGAACTTTAAAACCGAATCCTTTTCTATAGGCAAGCCGAGCATGTCATAATCTCACTAATCAAACCGTAAACTTTTTTACTACCCTTAGTGTATTTAAGAAAGACGGGAAGTATAAAAATGAAGCAAGCTTCGTGCTGTGTGTGGCGGAATCCATGGGATTTCGATAGCAATCCGACAGATCGTCGGTTGATTGCTCCGGTTGATTGCGGGAAGTTTAGTCACGCGCCGTGGACCGTGCTGCGGAGTTCCGATTGGCCCCCCGGGATTCGGGATTCGGCTCCGAAATCCAGTGAATAGGTAACGAGCCGAACTGCCGTGTTCCGTGTAAGTGGGAAGTGGGATGAGCCTCGAGGCACATTAGAGCATGTGCTAACCGTGGCTCATACAGAGATACACTTACGGTTCTTTTTCGTAACACGGCGGTGAACGCTTCAACGCAGGATCGATCGTTATAAGACACCGACTTGGTCGGTGACGCGGCGAAAAAGCAAACGTTCGGCAGCGGCGTGGCGTGAATTGCGATGTATCGATTGATATGCCATTTAAACCTATGGTAAAGAATCGATTATTAAGGTGTTCGCTGCGAACACCCTGATTATCGATCCTTTTCCATGGGTTTAAATGGCATATCAATCGATATATCGCAAAGCACGCCACGCCACTGATGTTCGGGGGCGCAGCGGCATCTCTTGCGGAAAATGTGACGGCGTAAAAAGCCGAAAATATGACGAGAATTAAGACAAATTATTCCGAGGGTGCGTCACGCTGCCACGTTTACCTGGGAATCTATATCGCAGTATTCAGAACGTTGCTGAGACGTAAGGGCGTATATGGGTGGAGTTCAGCTAATGGGAGAAAATGGTTCTGAAAAAAAGTTGATAAGTGATCTGGCCACATCAAGCTGAAGACTAGTTTTCTGTTATCTTAGAGCTCCACACTATGGGATTTAATTACGGGAATCGCAATATTTTTACGATTATTTATCGAGAGAAAATATTATGATTGAAAGTTTTGAGCAACCAGTTACACGCCTTTCCCATATTTTACCCCATCAGATGAAATCCACCCATATATCGAGCAGCACATTGACCCTCGATGACATAGCGTTACGAATTCATAACAACGTATTTTTGGGGGTTTTTTAAAATCAATTGTTGCCCCTCTGGTATGATTTTGCAAGATCGCGTTAGTTTTTTTCTTTTATTTGAAAAACTGATTCCCTTAAATTTAAAATTTTTAAAACAAATTCGGTACTCTATATTTTTAAGGAAGCTCCAAAATATCTAGATTAGTGTCCCCTGGACTCGGAGATCCCAAATTAATTAATGTCATAGAGGGTTAAAGTTTGAAAGTCTGGTTCTAAAGGATCGTATTCGTGATTGATCCATAAACAGCCCTTTTCCTGAGGAGACCCCGTGGTTTACATCGTGATTAAGGGAGGCTTAGAGAGATCCTTAACATACTAACATAAATTGGACAATTTTTGCGAACCTGGTGTAAAATTCAGCAGTAGGTAACTGTTGAAATTGATTTTTGTGAGGTATTTCACTGATTTGCCACTATCAAAAGTACAAAATAAGTATGGAAGGAAAAATTCCATGATTTCGACAAACCTAAAGAGAGGTGCTTACTTACCTTAAAATGTAGAAAACTCGCAATATATTTTCTCTCGTCGTTCGTACCTATATTTTATGTAGTAATTCATTTTAACTCTTTTCAAATATCTATTTCTGAAGGTATGCTGCCAAAGTTTACATGAATTTTTGTGCGAAGAGTGTGCTCTTTATGATGTTATGTATTTTCATAATGTATTTAGTATACATTTTAAGCTACTCTCGTCGAAAATATTAATTATAGGTGCAGCCATGCTCAAACACCGCAGTAGAGATACGTTGTTTTTGCTTTTTGGCCATCAATATTACGATTTTTTAAAGTGTTTTAAACAGTGAGTTCTTCGAGAATGGCTTTTTTTAAAAGGGCATGTACCTATAGATATGTTACGTTGGGTTTGTTTTATCCCGTCAAGACTTCGACACCTTGTCAACTTGGCCACGCTGGTAAATTTTCCTCGCGGTTTGAAGCTGGCTCTCGCTCATTAGTCATTTCTTTAACAAACGCCGCGCCGCGTCGCGCCGCGCTGAGGGGCGAAAGAGCCGAGAGTTAGGGGCGCGAGAGCGCCGAGGGAGGGGCGTATGGACGCTCAGGGGGGCTAAACTAGGAGGTGTCACAGTTTGATTCCGCTCCTTTCATCTTCCTTCGCCAGCGATAACCGCCTTAAACTCTTTCCCTTGACTTCAGACCACGCTCGAAACTTCATGGCAATTTTCTGCTCAAAGAAAACTTCATATTTATCAAAGTTGCCAACTCACGATAATGAGTCCGCATGGTCCAAGTTATATTTAATACGGTTCTTTTCATTTTTCCGCTCGGAGCTTTTAAGTAACGATCCGTGGTATGGCGAGTGGTTCAAATATTAACGTGTCTGCGCTCAGTATCACCGGATGTCATACAAATGTTTCAAATTCAGAACGTTATAAACATGTTCAGTGACATGGCGTGCTTTGCGATACATCGATTGATCTGCAGTTTCAACCTACGGAAAAGGATCGATTCACAGGGTGTTTGAAAAGAAATACCTTAATAATCGATTCTTCACCGCAGCTTCAAAAGGGGGAGTTATCGATATCGATCATTCACGCTTCGCCACTGTAAAAATGGATGACGTTGTGCGCCTTCAGTATAGCGGCACATGGATTATGAAAATGATGCTTTGGATGTGCAATGGATGATGCAAGTGGATGATTTGGATGTATTTTTATCAAACGGAACTATGTGTATTCAGACATGAGCCCTAAGACCCATAAGAATAAGTGCATAACAGGGCTCACGTCATAATGCACATAGTTCCGTTTGATAGAAATACGTCCATTTCTTCAGGCATCATGAATGCCACCGATGCATTTGCGTTGCGAATTTAATTATGTGGCAATTTTCCGAATATTTAAGGGTTACCATGGATACTGGATAGAAATTAAAAGAAGAAAAACACACCTACAAAAAAGCTCAACTTGCTGCTGCTAATTGAGTCACGTCAAAGTCAGATTCGATCAAAGTTCGGTATAACCCCCTCCTTCCTCATACAAACTGTCAGGGCTTAACAGGGTTTTTTCCCCCTCTTAGCTTAATTTTTTACTCATCTTGCCTTTCATCTGGTCCACAGAAAAAAATAGATGGTGCTGACGACAGAGCCTTCTGTTCACACGGCTCCTGCAATTTATTCTTTGTCACACTTACAGAATTTTTCTGTTGTGAGAACAGAACTTCGATCGTGGGAACAGAGTACTCTGTCCTCATAACGGAAGCTACTGTGACTGTTACAAAAGAAGTGCAGGAGCCCTGTGAACAGAACTATTTTTTTCAGTGTCGTTGGATGTCGATTGTGCCCTTTATGGAATAAGGGATTCATACACTGGTCAAATTTTTCGCTTGATTTTAAGATTCACCCCTACTTTTAAACTTTTCAATTCTTGATTTTTCCCTGGAATTTTAATTTTTTCACCCTCTCATTAAAAATCAAACTGTTACAGATTTTACACCGTGTGAACCACTTTGATACGGCTGTTCAGGTATACTTTCAGCTATTTACTTATCTAAAATCAGCTTAACTTATGTGCACTGCATAAATATATTTTTCTTTTCTCAGGTTAAAGAAGATTGGAAATACGTAGCAATGGTACTGGATAGACTATTCCTTTGGATATTTACATTAGCAGTGCTCGTCGGTTCGGCTGGCATCATCCTCCAAGCACCCACCTTGTACGACGACAGGAGACCTATAGATGTCCAACTTTCCGATATCGCCTCGACCACGTCCAAGCCGCAAGTTACTACCACGACTCTATAATCTCACTCTCTACAACTAATTCCGTTTTTTAATTCCTTCGTCGAATCCTTCTTCCTCTCAATTTCAAGTGAGTACTTCTACCGACGGATTGCCTCAAGGTAAGTGAAACGGAGGCACGCTCTTGCCGACCCGTTTGGCTCGAAACGCAGCTTTTCGTTTCTACCACCAGAATCGCGGCGGGAGATTGGAATTTCAAATATTTTGTAGTCGCAGCCCGACAGAGCTCAGGGGAGGATTTCATGAGCCGTCCGCAGCGCGCATGGCAAACGACCCGCCTTTCATTATTACACTTCATTTGGAGTTGAGAGTTCACTAATTACTTCACGCGACCAGTGTGTAATTTAAGAAGAAAAAAATTTAAAAAAAAATACAAGATATACGATTTTTTCCGCCAAGGAGCTTTCCCCGCAAGAAATCGGCCACCACCCCGCCCGCCCGCCCGCCCGCCGGGAGAGCCGCGGCGTGCTAACAACGCGAAACGCGCACTGACGGCTACAAACCTAAAGGGCTGCATCACGCATTGCGCAATGCTTGAAGTATCCCCTTAGGTTTGTAGGCGGCGGTGCGCGTTTCGAGCTGGCAGCACGCCGCGCCGCAGCGTGCCATAATAATCGAAATATGTCGTGTTTGTAATTGTGGAATTTATAGGTCAGGGTATAAAAATGTAGGCAATTTGACATCAAATTCGAAATTAGCGACTCAAAAACCATCTCTTACGAAACTTTTGTGATCTTTCCGTCATTATCCGACTGATTTCTTCCTATTCTTGAGTTTTGGATCATAGTGCGCCGCGAGTGGCCTGACGGCTCATGAAATTCTCCCTCGTGCTCAACCGGTCGCAGCCAGGATTAAACATGACCGCCTGCTGTAGATAAAAATAAATAAATTCAGTGCGAGCGAATTCGCTAATTAGGATAAAAATTCATTTACTTTCAGCGAGGTGGCTATTTGCTCATTTTCATCAATAGCAGAAGGTCATATCGATGGTGTAAGTCGGTAATAACTCGGTTTGCGACGTCGCAGGCTTCCTGTCATACTTTATTTTTTAAACGGAAAACTACTTAACGGCAATTCTTTAAAACTGTCGTGATTTTTCTCCTCTGTGCAAAGAAAATTCTGCATAAACTTCAAGGAATGATGTCAATTTGTTCGCCTTTAAAAAATTACATGGAGGCGGAGATTTTCAGACACCGCAAATGAGTTATGAGATTGCCGACTTACACCGTCGATATTTGTTTTCGGCCACAATTATAAAATTTTTGAAATTTAAATCTCCCGCCACGACTCTGGAGGCAGGGTAGAAAGGCTGCATTTCGGCAAAAGGGATCGCCAAGACCGCACCAACACCAACGTTCCATTTACCTTGAGATTGAGATTGCCTTTATAATTCAGTATTCCAATCATGAACAATTTCAGATCAAGCATTCAAATATTCTTTAAGATTCGCTTGTTACATTTTTCAATGAACATAAAAACGCTATGAACAATACTTCCATAAGCCTAATTATCGACGTGATATGGAAAGGAAAATTCTACATGAGAAAAAAAGCTGCTTCACGGAGAGAGGTTTGCCAAGTGCTTCTGTGTGAGAGACTGCAGAGAACTTTGAATTAGTTAAAATACTAATGAAAATAAGACTGAAAAACAAAGAAAGTACACTTAAATCAAGAATAAAATCGGCAAAATTTAAAACACTCAAAACTTTCCTTCCTTAATATTTAAGTCGCAGTATCAACGCTGAATAGGGAGATCAGCGAACTCTCTGAAACGACGTCCCGGGACGAAAATTAAGTGAGGAGAGTTTTGAATTTTTTAAATTTTAGCGATTTTATTCTTGACTCAAGTTAGTGATTAAGTCACCACAGCGTTATCGAGAAATTATGAAGCATTCCAAACTTTGACACAGAAATAGAAAAAGGTATCTTTCTTTAAAACCTCTGTTCTTAAAAAAACATGAGCTATGGAAATTAAACAGCGTTTCACATTTCCTGAAAGTATAAAATTGTGTAGGGAGCACGTCACTTGAGGAAAAGCTTTTAAAGAACCTTTATGAGTGTGTGGAAACGAAATTGATGAATGACCCCGTAAAAACCTCCTACCGCAAACCAACCTACCGCTATTTTCTCCACCGATTTTTTTATTAAAAGCCTCGCAAGATTGCCAAGTATAGCACAGTAAATTATTTGTATTCGTCCCTCTACTTTTGACGTTAAATTTCTCGATCAAGTATGATTACGATTTGTGCAATTCTTAATTTTTAATCATCAGAATATTGATAACTTGAATTAATATCTCCTGAGAAGTATACCAGATATCTTATTTTGTCATGGTTGTCATGGGAACGGAGTTCCCCATGATATTACAATCGTTCCGTTGCTTTCGCTATGGGATTCCCTATACCTCTGCGACCTTGAGCGTTTCGCCCAGTCTCCGATTTTTGGTTGATTTTCCGATGTATCAAAAACCGTTGTATTTTTTAGCCAATCATGTCTCTACGTCAAGTTGTGTTGATTTCTAAAATTCGCTTTCAGCGAGTTTTTTTCCACCTCGAGATGTCGTGTCTGACTGGTAAATCTGCGCAGAACCACGAAGTTCCGTTTTTAGGCAAATTCTTTTTTTTGGGAGGTTCTGATTGGTTATTTTTCGCCATCAGTTTTCTGTTCGTTGGTGCAAAAGATCGCCTACCTCGGTGTTCTTGAGAAGCCGCCATTATCCCACCTCAAATTTGAAAAATAGAAGTAAAGAAATAATAACCATCGTACAAGGTGGAAAATTGTTCTGGAGGACTCGTTACGGATACAGAAGTCAAAATCAGAGCTCGATTGATTGATTTAATTCATGGATACGCAAATATTGCCTTAGCTCAACTGCCGCGATCGGAATGCGTGCTGGGATGAACCTCGAGACGCATTAAAACAGTGCGAACCATGGCTCCTACAGCAATACAGCAATGCGCTTCATATCATCCCAAAAGCAGTCAAGGTCTCTTGTGATAAGTCCCGCCCATTGCCCGAGTCTTTTGTATGCTATTTTTACTCTCGCCCTCTTGGATCCATTATAGCCTAGTTGACTAAACCGCCTCGTATTTTTGATTCGGTGCGGGCACCCGGCGATCGGGAGTTCGATACCCGACGATAGGAACTACTTTTTAATGGTTGTATTGAATGTTTTAGACTAATCATCAAAAAATAATTAATAGTAGATGATAAATGTACGAACATTTTCTCGTGAGTTAATATGTTAAACAAAAATACTGGAATATACCTTCTTCATATAATCAGCCACATGTTCCTCCAAATTAATGACGTTATTTTCTTTTTTCAATAAAGTTAATTTGCATTCAACGTTCGTAAGTTAAGCAAAAAGTACCTATTGATACAAATAGAAAGGCATGAAAATAGTATGTCTAACATTTCAGTTTTTTTTTTTTATTTATTTTTTGTTTTTTTGTTTTTTCAATAAAACAAATTGACTGGGACTAGAATCATTGTATTTCTGAAGACAAAAGCTAAGTTTTTTGATACAGAAATTTTATATAATCAGGGAGATGTTGACCCAAATATTGATGTATATTTTCTCTGTTCGCCCAAATTAATGATGGTATTTTCTTTTTTCAATCAAATTAATTTACATTCCACGTTCTTAAAGCAATATTTTCTCCAAAATTCAGCAAAAAATAACAATTTATACCTACGCAAAAAGTAAATAAATAAATAAAGCAATGACATGAAAGTAGTATAGGTAGTACACATCTAACATTTCGGTTACATCTATTTGAATGAAAAAAATGGCAACTTAGGAAGCACATAGGTCACTTATCGACGGTGAAACTACCAAACCACGTATCTCGGTTTGCGACGTCGCAGACTTCCTGTCATACTTTATTTTTTAAATGAAAAGCTACTTAACGTCCAGTCTTGAAAATTTCCGTGATTTTTCCTCTTCGTGCGGAGAAAATTCTGTGAAAATTTCAAGGAATGATATTGATTTGGTCTACTTCAAAAAAATAAAATGTGAGCGGAGATTTTTAAACACCGCAAACGAGATACGTGGTTTGGTAGTTTCACCGTCGTTATGATGCGTATTCGGGCATATGCGTAGAGTAAAAATATCATACTTTACGCCGAAAAAACGAAACTGAAAGTTAAATGCGTTAACTTCCAAAAACCATACATAATCCAACGAAAATAAATAATTGGTAAATAACAGCTTTCTTGTATGCAAAGAAAAAAAATTAAAAATGTTAAAAAAGAGATGTCGACACAAAATTACATAGCCCCTTCAATTCTGAAGATACTACAAACGAACTGTACCTTAAAATTTTCATATCCCAGAAGCAAAAGTTCCCATGACGAATATTGCTATCGCTAGCGATTGCAAAAACCAACTTGTTTTATTTTACAAAAAACATGTCAGCATAAGCCACCAAACATTACTTTATTTATGAACAACGTAGGAATTTACAATTTGATGAAGATGTCTGCCTATTAGCTAATTAATTCATCACTTAGATCTAGTTGCATGGCACGTTTTCCGGCCAATGGTGTACAGAACTACTGTCTTGTTGCGATTAAGATTATAAAATCAACTATCCACTAATGGAGATATAAGTTGTAGGTACCTAGATTTTTTACATACGTCATTTTCATTCACATATAATGTTTGTATTAATTTTGTCTTCTTTTTTGTTACAGAACTCAGCCACTCGCTTTTTGTTACAGCAGCAACAAATTCACAATTCACGTTTCCAACCATTATTGTTTTCGCACTTAAAACGAACAGTTTTTAATGTGGAGGCATTGTTGTAATGTTTATTCCAAAGAACATATCGACGGTGAAACTACCAAACCACTTATCTCGGTTTGCGACGTCGCAGACTTCCTGTCATACTTTATTTTTTAAATAAAAAACTACTTAACGTCCAGTCTTGAAAATTTCTGTGATTTTTCCTCTTCGTGCGGAGAAAATTCTGCGAAAATTTCAAGGAATGATATTGATTTGATCTACTTCAAAAAAATAAAATGCGAGCGTAGATTTTTAAACACCGCAAACGAGATAACGTGGTTTGGTAGTTTCACCGTCGATATGTCATATGGTG